GCCGCGGTGTGTCATGGGAGATGTAGTCCCTGCAGGGGGCAGGGTGGCAGCATCTTCTGCCCAGGCAGCTGGGTACCAGTGGGCATCCTGGCTGGGATGGTGTAGTAGGGGCAGCAGGTTGGACTAGATGTGACCTCCTGAGGTCCCTTCCCACCCTCTTTTTCTACGATATTAGGAAAAACTCTCTCGCTGGAGGGTAGTAAAGCACTGGAACAGGCTGCCCAAAGAGGTGACCTTCTGAGGTCCCTACCAACCCTCATTTTCTATATCAGGAAAACCTCTCACGAGGAGGGTGAAGCACCAGAACAGGCTGCCCACACAGGTGGTGCAATCTCTATCCTTGGAGATGTTTAAGCCCCAGCTAGACCAAGCCTTGGCTGGGATGATGTAGCTGGGACTGGTCCTGCTTGGAGCAGGGGGTTGGATGAGATGTGACTTCCTGAGGTCCCTTCCACCCTCATTTTCTATGATCCTATGGAGCAGCAGGTCATCCTGGCTGCAGCTTGCAATCACCCCCAAACTCTCCCTCTGCCTGAGGAAGTGTGTTTGTACCCAAAAGCTTGCAAAGAACAGTTTTTCCAACTATTTAACTGGTCTAATAAAAGAACATTTACCCAACCCAGGGGGGCTGGACCCAGTGATCTTTGGGCAGGGGGGCTGGACCCGATGATCTTACAAGGTCCCTTCCAGCCCTAACGTCTATGAAATCTTGTAAGGTCCTTTCCAGCCCCGAACATCTATGAATCTATGTTCTTAGACCAACACAGCTACAACCAGCACCCCTGATCCAGCCAACTCGAGACTCTGCCTATTAAAATGTAGCACCAGCTCTTCCACAGGCACTGGCATCCACGTGTCCTTGCTTACCAGCCCCACAAACGGAGGAGCAAGCCTGCTCTTCTCTTTCTCATTTATACCGTGAGCTGCTGTACAGGCAGAGCCCTGGGCCCGCAGCCCCACCCAACAGAGCAGGGGCAGACCAGCGGAGCAGCTGGCAGTGCCAGAAGTCAAGAATAATCTATTAGTGAGTCAATGTGTTAGTAAGTGAGACAACTTGTTCACGGCATTTCCAGAACGTGTTATCAGGTCACAACACAGGCACGGCCTGAGGCAGGGCCCTGCACCAAACAACCGTGCAGTAGGAAGAGAATGACGTTAAATGGAAAGCAGATGAGCAACAGAGAAGACATTGGAGCTCGCTGCTCTGAATACAAGATTGGAGGGTGGAGAGGACCAGGACTGTAATACCCCATAACCAGTTTTGAAAAGAGCTAATGCTATAGTCTCTACCTATGCAGAATTTGCAGATAATGGCATCACTTCAGCAGTCAGTGTTCAATAATACATTCTTTCTGCTCTGGCTTCAGGTGTCACTGCAATACTGCTGAGGGGTGCAATCACTCAGGACGGGGGCAAAACTAGTATGCCCCTTTCGCAGGGTCCAAAATGACCCACTTTTTCAGAGGAATTACATTCCACAGAGAAGCCAACGTTAAAAGACTTTCAGGTTAATTTTGAAAGCAAGGAAGGATGAGACAGAAACTTCCTAGGAGCTAGTCTGTACCCTAGAAGTTACCACCAAGGCCAGTGTAAGGTAGGATGGTCAGACTCCTGAAGCAGCTAACAGAGAACTGTAACACAAATTGCAGCTGTTGTTGCCTCACTCATGTAAAACCAGGACCCATGAGGATGCTAGGCTCAAAATCGAGGAAAACTCCTAAGAATGAGTAAGCCTTTGTATTGTCTGCAAAGTTTGCTCGGGAGAGAAAGAGTTAAGATTCCATAAACGGAGGTATTTAAGAGTAGGACTGCTGGGGAGATGATCCATTCAGTCTCTTCCAGCTTAAGGTTCCCCAAACTCTATGTGACAATCTCTTGAAGAAGTAAGCCCAGAAGGTAGGAGTTGGAAACAGGGAGAACCTGAGCTCCCCCCTCACCAGCCCTTTTCCTAACTCTCTGTCTGGCTGAGTTGGAAGGTGGTTTGCTAACTTCTCAGCTGGAAGTTGCCCCATGTGTTACATCTCTGTACGACACATTAAACGCACGGCTGCAACACTGCTCTGCTGGCACGGCAGCAAAGCCTCTCAAGGCAGGTACTACGGCATATTGACACAGTCCCAGAGATCGAGGCACTGCCGAGTTCTCAAGCCGATTTCAGCTGTGGCCTTGCATAAAATGCTGAACACCTGAATCTCCTTTAAAGTGAACAGGAACTGGAACTGCTCAGCTCTCCTTAAACAAAAAACAACAACAAAAATCAATGATGCCTAGGTTCCTCATCTGAGAATGAAGGAGAATATGACACTTACCTAAGGCTCACAACCCCAGTGACAGATTATTAGCAAAGTGCTTTCTACTTTGCATTTAAAAAAATGTATTTTGCCCTTGGCTGGGATGATGTAGTTGGGGCTGGCCCTGCTTTGAGCGGAGGGGGTTGGATGAAATGTGACCTCCTGAGGTCCCTTCAACCCTCATTTTCTATGA